GGAGGAAGTAAATCTTCATGCTCAGCTGGCAGGAGTATAACTCGTCCAACTTCCCCTAGAAGGCAAGAAAATGGGGACGGAGGACCAGAGGCAGGACACACTCGCTGCTGTCTGCGGCCCTGAAACCATGACGAAGGGCCCTGAAGTGAGTGGCCGCCGGGCGACAGCCCAGTCTCTCACCTGAGGGGTAGACGGAGTTGGTTCGGGAAAGAGTTACTGTTCAACGACCAGGAGAGAAGCTGTGTGCTTGAGCCTGGCACTCTTTTGAACTGCCCATGATAACAACAGTATAATTCAGTCTCGCGCCTAACCAGAAGGTACTGGAGTTGCTTTTGCTGCTGTCACGGTCCTGCCTAAGGGCACGGTTTCAGGAGATTTGTGCATCTGGAGAGCAGGTATCAGTTCCCCGCCGTCGCTGAGATTATTTCTGCATCAGATTGAATTCATTAGGCTGGACTGGACTAAATTCCACCTTTCTATTTGTTTCTCTTCAAAGGTTTCTTCACAGATAAATGGCTCTCACATTAATCTTCTCAGAAAAAAGTCACAACATAAACCAGGCCAGACTAAAGAGAACCACCTGGGGAAAGGTTTAACTCTTTAGAGGAAGACACAAGAGCCCAAAAGTTCATTCACCCTGCGGTTACACCTCTGATGTTGTGCTTCGTCTTGTCAGACATGGTTCCCAAATTCAAACAGAACACATCTTCTGGATTCAGGATGCTCTTTAATAATACCTGGTGCTAGAAGGGCCGCTAAGTCACAAGGAGCAGGGTGACCACGAAGACTCAGAATGCATGGTACGAGGACAGCTGGGACGAGACAGCCTGGCAAGAAGGAGGGTTGGGGTTTGGGAAGTGAGAGAGAACAGAAAAGTCCACAAAATATCACACAGGAACCAGAAGCACGGCAGGGATAGTACTGAATGTAGGTCCGTAACAATCGCCCAGAACAACAGCACTCACAAGAGATCGCAGATGATGAGCGGCGTCCTTCCCCACAAACCCACTGGACACTGAAAACCTCCTAAGTCAAAAATGCACTGGCTGTGGAAACCAGTGTGGAGAGTCCTCAAACAACTAGGATTAGAGGTCCCATTTGACCCAGCTATTCCCCTTCTGTGTATCTTCCCGGAAGAATTAAAAACATCACACTACAGTGACATATGTGCACCCTTGTTCATAGCAGCACAATTTGTCATAGCTAAATCTTGGACACAGCCTAAATGTCCATCAACTCAGGAATGCATAAAAAAGATGTGGTATTTTTATACAATGGAGTACAATTCAGCTATAAAGAAGGATAAACTTAAGACATTTATAGGGAAATGGGTGCAACTTGAGACTATACTCATAAGTGAAATAAATCAGTCTCACATGTGTAAACATTGTATTGTCTCCCTAGTGTGAGAAGCTGAAAGAGTAAATCAGATCCCAAATGTACAATAGATATTGGGAAATGAGAAGAAACTGTTCAAAAGGGAAGAGAAACTGGGATGTGGGATAGAAGAAAAAAAGAAAGGGGAAAAAAATATATATATATATATACAAACGAGATACTTAAGAAAGTTATACTACTAATTGTTATTAGCTCATTGAAAAGAAAGGTTTGTGCCTATATTGTTTGACCAATTTTTCATGCCTATATCTTGTAATATGAGCAACTACTTTGATAACACACACATCATACTAATCATTGTTACTGTCCTACAATCTTGATTTGAATTTTTTTTTCTTTTTTTTTTGTGGTACAAGGGATCAAACTCACGACCTTGTGCTTGCCAGGCAGGCGCTTATGCCACTGGGCTATATCCCCAGCCCTGAAATTTTATACCATTATTTTTAATGTTTTTCTTTCCTTTTCTTTAAAGTAAAGCATTGGTGAGCCTAACAAGAAAGTCATCCAGCCCCGCCAGTCTCAGACCAGCTGAGAGCCTTGCTTTCCCTTACCCTTGGGCGGCACCACCCAATACACACCACCTGACACAAACCCTATTTCACAATGAAGTGTCAGCTCTTCTGACCTGCGTTTAACCAGATTTGAATGACAGGCACGCACAGATGGAGAAAATAACCCAGTGCTGCTCAGGCCTGCCAGGACCTTGAGCCAGGTCCTAGGGGTATGCAACAGGGGCAGACTCAGAACCACATGTCTAGGAACACTTCAGAGCCTGCACTGGGGTCCCTGGAGCCCCTGGGGGTGCTGCATCAGAAGCCCCTGGCTGCAACCGTCCTTTACCACTTGGGCGGGGGGGGGGGGGGGGGCGGGTGGAACCACAGACCCAGGCGCCACTATCAAAGGCCTCCGGGAGTGGCCCCTGAATGGCATGCTCACTTGCAAACACTCAGCCTTGGGGTTCCCCCTTCTTGGCCTGGATTTGCATCCCCTCTGTCACCTGAGAGCCCGGGAGAACTCTTCGGACACTGGGGTGGGGAGGGACACGGTCAGCAAAGGGTACTATGGGACAAGAGAAGAGTGGAGCAAGGAGAGGCCCTGGGAGGGGCAAAGGCAGGGTCTGCAGGAGGTGTCACAGCTGGGTGGACCTTCCAGACAGCCCGGCAGCTCCCTGGGGTCTGTGCAGGGCCTCAGGGAGGGCAGTGGGTGCCCCTCAATTTCACCTGGCCACTTTGCCCACTAGGCGGCACCCCCACTCTCAGAAACGTGGCCGAGGGGCTACAGGGTCTGCTGGTGTCTCAGAGCAACTGCAGCAGGAAGTAGAGATGTGGCTTCAAAAGCACTGAAAGAGCTGTGTGAAGATTTCAGTTTGCTTCATCCCATCCCAAGTGGGGTTTCCGTGCATCCATCTGTGTAAAATTCTCCTGGATCAGCATTGGATTGTGAAAACCAACCATAGAAAACCCATCATGACCACTGGGTAAATCTGCACATGCCTCTCAGAAGATGAGCTGTTTGTAAAGATAAACTTTGAAAGAAGAAAAACTGCATTCTTCTGCTAAGGTAAATGAGTGCATCGAAAGCGAGGAATTTCAGCAGTACGGGTGCAACCAAAGTGCTGAATCCGTATTTTCAATTCACAGAGATAGGAGAGGTGAGAGCCACGGGAGCACCGGGCAACCAGCAGGAGGGATAATATCGGCCTCGACATTCATCTGTTGCCAACCACAGGTGAAAAGATTAGGGGAAAATATGTGTCTGTCCTGAATATGCACAGGCTTTTCTTGTTATTACTCCCTGTCTTAGTTACTCTTGTTGCTGAGACAAAATAATCAACACCCAAATTAAGGAAGGAAAGGTTTATTTGGCTTGTAATTTGTGGAGTTTTCAGTCCATGCCCGGCTGGCTCCAAAACAGAGTGGCACATGGCAGAGGGCAACGGTTCCTGGCAGTGGAAGACAGCAAAAGCAGCAAGAGCAACAAGGGCAGAGCAGAAAGAGCAAGCCTCTCTCCCTCCCTTACACTGTATGCAAACTATCTGCCCCAGGGCAGGTGTAGCGCTCACACTCATAATCCCAGCACTGGACCGTGGATCAATCACAAACTCTAGAAGTTCGCCCCATGACTGCGTGAGGCTTTGGGGAGACACCCAGGCACAAACCATGGTACTCCCTGAATGACACAGTGTGACATCTACTGAAGCATTCACATTGAATTAAGTATTATAAGCAACCTAAGGATGAGTAAAGCCTCCAGCAGGCATGCTCAGGGTGTATGCAGTACCACCGCACTACACGCAGAAGGGACTGGGACTTGATGGGTTTCCATATGGGAGCAGGGTTCCTCAAACCTGCACTGGCCTCGTACCCAATCCAGGTCAAACCAAGACTCTGTGGGTACCGAGGAACTGTGGGGAGGTGGAAATCTCACAGAAACAAAAGTGAGGCCGCCAAAGATGCTCTGTTGTGTACTGATGGTAGAGGACATTCAATTAAATCCAAACAGTCTAAATCCAAAGTTATATTTAATCAGAGAGATAATTCAGAAAGCACATTCAGTACATCTGTTTCAGGGCTCAGAGACAGGCATTCTGGAAAATATATATTCTCTCTGCCCTAAAAATCTCTTTCTTTTGGTATAATTGACATGTAACCAAGTGCACACCACACACAATGTGGTAAGTGTGAGCACACCCATGCACACCCAGGAAGACTGCCTCTGGGGTAGGCTCACCAATGGCCTCAGCCCAGCCCCAGAACCGGGGAATCTGTTACCTTCACTGGGCAAGGGGACTGTGGGAGTGTAAATGAGTGTCTCAAGGTGTGAAAGTTATCTATATTATCTGGGTGAGCCCAGTGTGAGAGCAAAGTCCTCAAGTGACGGAGGAGGCAGAGATGGTTGAGAGGCAGCTACAGCCACCGAGGCAGCAGCTTAGGAAGCCAAACGGCGAGGAAGGCTTTCTCAGCTGACCCTGTGTAGCCTCCCAGCCTCACTTTGCAGGTCTGACCTCCAGAACGGTCAGGGATGATATCTGCACTGTTTTAAGCTACAAAATGTGTGATAATTCATTACAGGGAGCGATTCCAGCCACAACCAACAGTCCCTATGGTCCTCTGCACCCTCCCTCTGCACCAAGACGCTGTCGCTGAAGATGTCTGCATCCCTAGAGTTTCATAGAAATGGAATCCTCTCATGTGCACTCTTTGTATTCAGTCTCTTTCATTTGTTATTCAATTATACGCTGTTTAACAAGGGGAACAAGCTGAGAAATGTGTCCTAGGCTATTTCATCATTGTGCAGAAACATGGAGAGTGCACGTAACCAACGATGGCTACGATGTCATGGAGCAATAGAATCTTCCAGAACCACCATCATAGAAGGGGTTTGTCCTTAACCAGCATACTGACATGCAGCGTGTGAGTGTGTCAGTGTTGCTATGTGGACACACCCTGCCCGTGGATCCCCTCACCGTGGGTGGACACTGATCTGTGGCCGGAGGTTGGTTGTTTCATCACAGCTGCCATGAACACCCATGCACAACCCTGGTGCAGGTGCGTATTTTCATTCCTTTATCTAAATTAGTCAAGTGTCCCCAGAAGCCAGGTCCTAACACTGGGAACATCTGGCCAATATTCCTCGGCTCCTGGGTCTCACTCAGGTGGGACACACAGGCAGCTGCCCAGGCACAAGCAGAGCTACCACAGTGTGCCAGGCCAGGTCAGACAGAACTGGCCTCCAAGCGAGAAGGTGGGCAGGCCAAGCCGGGCTCAGGGCTCCACGCGAGGACCAGCGCTCTGCATCCACAGTGAGCATGCTTGTCGGCGTCCTGTCTCAGAAGCTGCTGTGGGTTGTGTGCTGCGGGTGCGAAGCACCAGGGTTCTCTCCAGATGGCCGATGCTCCCCTCAAGGATGCCGTTATCACAGAAGACTTCACCACAGCAGATATTTTTAAGGAAACTTATGAAACCAAACTTCTGATGTAAGTAAGGTTTCAGTCCAGTGTATATGGAGTTTAGAAAAACGTTGTCTTGAGTTCCCTTCTGTTATGGCTTGTGTCTGCATGTCCCCCCAAATCCTCATGCAGTCATGGGGCGGGCTTCTAGATTTGTGATTGATTCATGGTCCAATGTTGGAATTATGGGTGTGAGTGCTACACCTGCCCTGGGGTGGGTAGTTCGCATACAATGCAAGGGAGAGAAAGAGGCTGCTTGCCGCCGCTCCTGCCTTTTACTGCTGTTCTTTTGCTGTCTTCTGCCGTCATGAACTGTTGCCCTCTGCCATGTGCCACTCTGCCTTGGAACCAGCCAAGTATGGACTGAAACCCCCACAAACTGTAAGCTAAATAAACCTCTCCTTCTTTCATTTTGGGTGTTGGGTATTTTGTCTCAGCAATGAGAGAAATGAGAGAAAAGAGCAATGAGAGAAAAGTAACCAAGACAGCTTCCTGGAATTAGTGGGCTGCAGACCATGGCAAACAACAGTGCAGATGCCTCAGTTTATTTTTAGAATAAATGGCCTGAAGTTTTGGCGGTCTGTGGCACACAGCTGTGCACAAGGTCTGGCCTTGAGAGTTCATTGTGTTGGGTGGGGCCACTATGGTGCTGAGACCTCGTGTGTGGGCATAATGGCTATAAACACATTATACGCCAAGGTCATTGTTTCTTCAGCTACAGCTGGAAAAGCTGTTTTGATCCTCTGCCTCCCTCAGGCCCACTAGCGCCTGACAGCCTTCCTCACACCAGGGCTGGAAAGGTTGGACCCTGTATACATTTAAAACTTTTCTAAAGTGGCTTCACAGTTACCTCCCTCCCCGGTGCAAGGGAGGCTGAATGTGCCACTGCTGCCCAGCACTCGCAGAGGCCCCTGTGTGCCACTCCAGGGGGAGGTGGCAGTGTCCCTTTGGGGTTTGATTTGCACTTCCCTACAATGCGAGATGTTTCCATGTGCTTATCCCCCATTCCTCATCCTCTGTGGCAACATGTCTGTTCAGATCTTTTCTCTACTTTTTGTTTGGTTGTTTTCTTATTGTTGAGTGTTCGGGGTCTCCATTCATCTACAGTCACGCCTTGGGTGGGCCTGTGCCTGAAAGACAGCCGGCTGGCAAGCCTTGTCCTCCGGGTGACACTGCAGAGACGCGAGAAGACCTAGTGAGACTCTGGCAGCCAGATCCATTTTGCCCAAATGCTGAGGGCAGAACTTTTTGTGCCTCTCCCTGAATGCTCTTCCTCTAAGCCCACCCCCAGGTGGAGGGAACCCTCAGCCACGCAAGAGGCCACGGCTTCCAGCACACATCCCCAGGAAAATCTCAGGGACAGTGGCACTAACCCTGCAGGGCTGGGCAGGGCCCTCCGTGGGATCCCCTGTATCTTGGAGGCTGGGTGCAGCGGAGGTGCAGTTTCCCCACTGAGACCTCAAACAGGAAATTCCTGTGTACGATGGACAGTGCTGTTTTGGGGGGCCTTTACATTTGGAGGTGCTGTTAGATAACCATGGACGATCAAAGCACCAGCCCCAACAGACATGTAATCAGAATAAAATATTTGCTGTTCTGAGTCATTTTTCTTGCAACAGATGGGCATATTTATCTCAGCATACCCATCTATATTTAAATTGTAACATGTACAAGTTTAAACTAAGTGTATTTTTCTCATTTTGCAGACATTTGCCTTAAGATACTCATTTTGCACTAGTGGTCAGAGTTTCAGCACTGAAAATGGCACTACCTTTTGGGGACTGCAGCCCTCATTTTACAACATGGAAACCAGAAGCCAGCCCTCTTTCTGCTCATGCTGCAAATAAGCTGGAAAGTGAAGATACCCATCCCACTCAGTGCTCTGTGCATGGCTTCTCCACTTAGAACAGATTGCACTAAATTTGGTAAGAAAATATCATTTCCTGCTTTATATAAGAAAGCCCTTCTGCTTAGGAAGCTAAATCTACCTCCGCAGTGACTAAAATTCCAGCCTGCACAGGGCCACTCGCCATGCTGAGGGCCACCCGGCACCAGGCAGGGTGAAGACACCGGCTCCAGGGAGGTCCATTCTGACTCCCACAGCTCGGCCGCCCACTGCCTGTGAGGCTTTTTTCGGTTCCCCTGGTCCTGTCCCAGCTCCCTCATCTGCAAGATGAAGATGATAATACAGATGGACACAGGTCTTAGAGGAGGAAACACCAGTGAAGAAAGCATAGAACATGGTGGACATTCAAAGCCTGGCCGCCCAGCTCCTGACCCTGTGCCCACTCACCAGCTGCCCCCTGAGATGCAACCCACTTTCCTGTCTTCATCGTCCAGCTTCCAGACAGTCCAGGAGCGTCTGTGTGAGCCCTCAGGGGCTTCACCCCACACAGTCGGGAGGCACTAGAGTGGGTGAAGCGGAAAGCACCACGCCCGGCCAGGAGCTGCCTCCCGCATGATCACCTGGAAAGCCTTTCAAGGAAGGAGCAGGGACAGGCAGCCATGACAGGATGAGAAATCTGTGCCTGTGTGGATGGCAAAGGGTGTCAGTGCCCCAGCTGGAGCAATGGCAGTGGGCCTCAGATGATGGTGATGGTGGTAGTGACAGTGATGATGGTGGCAGTGGTGATGCTGGTAATGGTGGTGATGGTGGTGATGGTGGTGATGGTGGTGGTGATGATGATGGTGATGGTGATGATGGTGATGATGGTGGTAACGGTGATGGTTGCAGTGGTGGTCGTGGTGATGGTGATGATGGTGGTGATGGTGGTGGTGATGGTGGTGGTGATGGTGATGGTGGTGATGGTGGTGATGATGGTGATGATGGTGATGGTGGTAACAGTGATGGTTGTGGTGGTGATGATGGTGGTGATGATAATGGTGGTGGTGATGATGGTGGCAGTGGTGATGCTGGTAATGGTGGTGATGGTGGTGATGGTGGTAACGGTGATGGTTGCAGTGGTGGGGTGGTGGTGATGGTAATGGTGATGATGGTGATGATGGTGGTAATGGTGATGGTTGCAGTGGTGGGGTGGTGGTGATGGTAATGGTGATGATGGTGGTGATGGTGGTGGTGATGGTGGTAACTGATGGTGGTGGTGGTGATGGTAATGGTGATGATGGTGATGATGGTGGTAACTGTGATGGTTGCAGTGGTGGAGTGGTGGTGATGGTGATGATGGTGGTGGTGATGGTGGTGGTGATGGTGGTAACTGACGGTGGTGGTGATGATGATGGCAATGGTGATGATGTTGATGATGAGTAGCAAGAGAAGATGGGTTGTCAAGGAAACAGATGTCATATGGAATGCTCTTGTGGAAAAGCCCGCAAGAGCCTGCAGCCATCTGCAGTGTGACCTGCCCATGGCTGCCCATTCCTGTCCCCTGCCCCAGGCAGTGTGACGGCCCCCGGGAGGGCTCCTTATAAGTCCCACCACCTGTGGCAGTTGGTGCCCACAAACACAGATGGCTCTGTCCTGCAGAGGTCCACACACAACCCTCCTGCGGTGTGCTCCTGCGTGTGTAACATGTGGTGGCAGGGTGCAGTTTGTGCTCCCCTCCCCCCATGTGCACCAAGGAACCACCCCAAGGCCCAGCTCAGACCTCCCCAGCCACTCTGTTCTGCAGGAAGCTCCACGAGGTGCACACCATGGTGCCTGCCGCCCCCCGGGCCAGCACAGGCTCCGCCCTCCCCGCCATTCTCCGGGGTCCGCCTGGGCTCTGTGGCTCTGTGCTGCTCACTGTAGGACCCGCTGAGTCAGGCGGGGCTGGCCCAGCCCAGCAGGCGAGGCAGTGGTGGCTTAGAAGCTCGGAGTGGCTTGCCTGGGTCATGGGTCAGGAATCAGATTTGACTCGGCGTCCCAGGAAGACGGCCTCACCTACCTGAGGTGGCACCCAGATCAGGCTGGAGTCAGGGCCCTCCCAGCCCAGGCTGAGCCCTGTGGGTGAAGGCCCGGGAGCTGGCAACCCCTGGGGTGTGCCCAGCCGCAGTTCCTCCTCTCTGCTCAACTCCACGAGGCCACGAAGACCTCTGCGCTCCCACCCAGACCCCACATCCGTTCCCACCGTGTGGCCTGACTCGGGAATCACAGCGCACATGTGTTGGGCACGTGGTGAAGCACTGCAGACCGGCGAGCCTCGTCCTGGAGTCCCGGCCGGGCCCGAGACATCAGTAGGGCAGCCACACAGCTGAGCCCCGCTCGTGAAGCCATAGGACCCCGAGCAGGTGGGGTTGCTCCACCAGCACTTGCCCTTGGGCAGGGAAAGCCAGGCCCTGCGGGGTGTGGCAGAGCAACCTGCAGGAGTCAGAGGGAAGAGGCGGCGGGTGAGACCTCAGAGCCTTCACTGAGCCAGAGCACTGAGCCTCAGGAGTCAACCACTCCCCTGCCCCGAGGCCCTGTTGGCCAAGCCTGAACCTGGCTCCAGCCCACAGCAGTGCGGGCTCGAGCCCTCCAGCATGCACGCCTCTCACCCTAGCACCCCAGGAGCAAAGACAGAGGTCGCAAGTTCTGTACCAGCCTGGGCAACGTCGTGACTTCCTAAGACCAGCACTGGCAGGTAGCAGCACCCCTCTGGACCCGCAACTGGGCCTTCCCAGGGCCGAGGTTTAGGAAGGGAAACACAAAATCCTCCCTCTGATCCCAAGAGGGGTCCTGGACCCTCGCCTCCTGCAGCTGTTTCTTCTCAGGAAGGAGCATCCAGCTTCCTTGCAAGATTAGCCGTGGTCAACAGTCCACCTGCAGGCGATCGTCGTGTGTGTACCTGAGGTCAGCAGTCTGCGGGGTCCTCCTAAGGCTTACACTTGACAGGTGGAATCCGGCCCTCCGCAGTTCCGCATGGGGACACAAGGGGGCAGCAGAACCCGGCCCCGGGCCAGTGGGGAAGGGTTCAGTCCGGGGTTATTGGTGTTAGGGTTGTTACTGTTGTTAGGGTTGTTACTGTTAAGGTTCGGGTTACTGCGGTTAGGGTTAGTGTTACGGTATGGTTAGGCTCAGGATTTGGGGGAATTCAGCCCATGGTCAGCCAGATCCAAGTCAGAAACACCACGGTGGGCAGGCGCAATGGAGAAAAGATGCTCCGGTCTCTCTAGCCAAGAAAAGAGCAGGGGAGGGGTGCCAGAGAGAAACTGGAGAGTGGCCGGGTGGAGACCCCAACGCCACCCCTCCAGGACCCACACAGACGCCCCCAGGGTGTGCTTTACTAGTGTGCGGGCAGGTCCCAGGCCACCCAAGCTGAGGCAGGTAAGGTTAACGTCACCCTGCACAATTAAGAAACGTAACATTTGACCCTCTTAAACTGACACATCTACCCAAACCCTACAGCTCTTTCTCTGATAATGGAAGATGTCATTTTTTTCTTCTTTTCATCATTAGGAAAGCATCTCAGATAACAAATTAATTTTCCTTTAGACTATAGAAGTATTAGAACATACTTTCCATTTAAATCCATCCATATAAAATTAAGTACACAATATCCACCCAACATTAGTTCAAAATATAAACAACCAAAGCAGCAAACTAAAACTCACCTATGTTTACAAAAAATGCACTCAAAATCTGTTTTAAATCCCAGGAGAAAACAAAGGAGATGGAGAGCCTGGACCGGTGATTGAGTAGGCCAGGGTGCTCAGCAGTACGAGAATACGCTCCTTATTTATCTTTTCCCCCACGGAGCACAGCACAGAAGAGTCTTTAAGGGTTAGCTCCCTCTCAGTCTGTCAGCCTCAAAGCAGGCTCACCTCAAAGGAGGCCTGACTCCCCACCCTCATCCCCACCAATGACGTGGAGCTCAGGTCCAGCCGTGTCTTCAAGTATGATGCACTCCCAAGCACCGAGATAAATGATAAAAAGGCATGGCACACTTGGAAAGGGTTTCCGAGCTGGAGGAAGCCTTCTGCAGATGGCCACGAGGCAGTGGAGTGGCGCTGACAGCCGGAAGCCAGCTCTCCAAGTGGCTCTGTAACCACCCAATGGCTCGTGTGTATCTCCACTAAAACCTGTGAGGAGAAAGCTGCATGCCTGGCACTCACAATAGCGACACCAGGCTGGCACATACGGCTCTTCTCAACGCCACAGCTTTGCTTCTCTGTGCCTTAGAAATAGGTTTGCCCTCCGGGACCCAAGATCTTCATCTTTATTTAAGATCAATCATCTTCCATCCATTTGTTACATCCACATTTTAAACGATGGGTGGGGAATGTGGTGAACAGTGCTGTGGTGAAAATGGTGCGGTAGTGAATATGCTGTGGTGACCAGAGCTGTGGTGAATGGTGCTGTGGCAAACAGTGCTGTGGTGAGTAGTGCTATGGTCAGTGGGTGATGTGGAGGATACAGCATTGAGGTGAATATGCTGTGTGGTGAACAGCACTGTGGTGAATGCAGCGCTGTGGTGAACAGTGCTGTGGTGAATGTGGCGCTGTGGTGAACAGTGCTGTGGTGAA